ACACACAACACTAAAAAGAATGTGTCATTAACAAAGGGAACTTAGTAAATCAATGTCACTGTCTATTTTTTAAAAACCTGTAATGGAAAATTGGGCATTTTCCCCAAAGCCATTAAATAAATGTTGAACAAATAATTAAGATGAATCTAGGTTTGGCAACGGCCCAGATGACAAGTCCACAATCCCTCGGCTGCAGTCCCTGGGGACAGATGTGTTTCAGAACTCTGAATTGTTCCAATTTTAGGCTGGTCAGAGGCAGTGAGTTATCCCAAGTGACTGTTCACAGTCAGTTACAGATTGAACTCCTTGTGCTACTCTTTCCCCCTTCTCACTACTGCACTTGACTAGTCTAAAAAAAAAAATCGTTCCAATTTTAGAAAGGTGATTCTAAGCAAATGCCGTATATTATGTAATATATGGATCTCAGAGGCCCACGGCAGGCGCCCCCTCCATCAGATATGTTAATATTTTTGCAGCAAAGTATGTGAATATTCGCACTAAAGGAGATAAAGAGTAAAAATAGCTCATATTATTTGATTTCCCACCATGTGAGACTGGGGCAAAATTACCCCCAAAAGAATTGTTGGTGGTCAGAGATTTGGGGAATTTGGGATTTTAGACAAGGGATTTGACTAGCAGGCTCCTTACGTTTATAAACACATATATTCCTGCTTTAATTGTAAATTTTCCATTCCAGGGTTGGGGATGGAGGAAAACTGGGGATCGGGTATAGGAGTCAGGATCCAGGAAACGGTGGCCCTAGAGCGCCCCCTATTGGCATCCCCGGCCCTTGCAGTTGGACTGCCAAATTGAGATGTCCACAGGCTGAGGCCAGATCCGGGGCTGGGCCCTGCTGGATCCTGATTGGCCCAAAGCTTCATAGTAAGCCCGCCTTCCCTTGCACGTGAGTGGTCCAGGAACCTAAGCCTTAACCAACCAACACCTGACAGTCGCCTTGGTACAGGCATTGTCTCCCAACTTGTCATGTGACCCACGTTGATCCAATCAGATTGAAGGAAAGCCCTTTTGGTCACCAGTGGAGTTCAGGCCTCTGTATGTCACCGCGGCCCTCAGGTTTCCGAATCTCTGGGCTCTTGGCCTACTGCCTTGAGGGGAAGAAGCTTGAGCATGAAGCCAGCTCTGCGCACAGAAAGAATTGGAAACAGTTTAGGTCCCCAGGCTGTGGACCTGCTCGGCTCTCCTTTTAAGAGATCCTGCTGCCCGATCACAGCTGTCTGGCAAGCCCCATGGCATGACTGCCAAGGCCACCCATGCCTCCCTCGGGCTGCTCCCAGCCAGTGACAGAAATTTTTTGCACATCTGATCCGGTCTTGGCATCTGCTTTCCACAGGACCCGAACTGTCATAACAGAGTCCCCAGGGACACAAGATAGGGGTTAAGAGCAGAGGATCTGGGATCAGATTGCCGGGCCCTCAAGTCTCCGTTCAGCCCCTCATTTGTGTCACCTCTCTCTGCTAAAGGTAGACACGGGTCTTGCCTAGAATTTTCACAACCCCTCTGCAAAGCTGGGAGTATTATTGTCCCCTTTTATGGATAAAGAGACTGAGGCAGAGAAGTGAAGTTACAAGAGAACCTTTGTGAAATCCTAAAATCCATGAAGGGCAGGCATTGATCTCTTCAAGTTTCCCCCGGACTGTTAAAGGTGGAAAGCCAGTGGGAGGTTGCAGAGGGCCATGTCCCTTTTAATCACTATAATTTAGAACTGGAGGCAGGAGAGAAGGGACAGACAGAGGAGAAGCCCAGGGGAGAGAACGCAGTGAGTCTGCAGGAGACAGGAAGGGAGACATGAAAAGGAGAAGGCACTGAACACCCTAAACCTCGATGCTCCGCAGTCTCTGGTCCCAGCATGGGTCTTCCTATCCCCCTAGGTGACCAGGCCCAATCTTCTTTTTTTTTTTGAGACCGAGTCTCTCTTTGTTGCCCAGTTAGAGTGAGTGCCATGGCATCAGCCTAGCTCACAGCAACCTCCATCTCCTGGGCTCAAGCAATCCTCCTGCCTCAGTCTCCCGAGTAGCTGGGACTACAGGCATGTGCCATCATGCCCGGCTAATTTTCTTTTTCTCTATATATTAGTTGGCCAATTAATTTCTTTCTATTTTTAGTAGAGACGGGGGTCTTGCTCTTGCTCAGGCTGGTTTCGAACTCCTGACCTCCAGCAATCCGGCCACCTCGGACCCCCAGAGTGCTAGGATTACAGGCTTGAGCCACCGCGCCTGGCCCCGACCCAACCTTGACGTCAAGCTTGACCCTCTCTCCCACCCCACAACCAATCCATCGAGTGTATCTCAAAAAAAAAAAAAAAAAAAAATATATATATATTTTTTTTTTTTGGTGGTTCCTCAGTAAATTATACACAGGTTATCAAAGAACTCAGCAATTCCACTCCTGGGTACCCATAAAAATTAAAAACAGGTGTTCAAACACAATCTTGTCCACAAATGTTCATAGCAGCACTATTCGCAATAGCCAGAAGGTGGAAGCAACCCGAAAGGCCATCAGATACTGAACAGGTAAGCCAAACGTGGTACATGCATCCCATGGAATGTTCCTCAGCCACAGGAAGCAGTGAGCTTTGGCATGGATGGAGCCTGAAAACAGGATGCGGAGTCGACGCTGGACACAAAAAGCTACATATCCTGTGATTCCTTTTATATGAAATGTCCAGAATAAGCAAGTTCATATGGACAGGAAGTAGACTTGTAGTTGCCAAGGTCTGAGGGGAGAGTTGGTGTTTAATGGGTACGGGGTCTCTTTCGGGGAAGATGAAGACATTCTGGAGGTGGCTGGGGGTGATGACTGCAAAGCATTGTGAATGTACTTAATTCCACTGAACTGTGCGCTTTCGATTAAGATGGGAAACTTTATACTATTTTACCACTATATATTTTGACCACTTTTCCCCTCCTCCCCAGCCAACACCCAAGTGCACACCATGGCCCATGAAGCCCTGACCAACATGCCATTATCTCTGCCCTCATCTCCTCCTCGCGCTCAGCCCCTCACTCCATCTAGTTCCAGCCACAGTGGCCTCTTTACCGGTCCCTGAACAAGCCTCAGGCCCTTTGCACTTCCTGTTCCTGCTGCCCCATCCTCACCTGCCTCAAGCTTCTACCCATAAACCAGCTTCTTCCTCACTCCCTATACTTTACCCTCCTTCATTCTTCTTCTTTGTGCTTATAACCACCTGACATGCCATAGATTCAAGTTGTTAACTATATTTCTTGTCTGTTTCCCCACTAACATGTCAGTCCCAAAGAGCAGAAATGTTTGCCTGTTTTGTTCACTGCCATGTCCCTGGTGTTTAAAATAAGCCCAGTACACAGTAGATGCTCGAAAAATATTTGTTAAATGAAAGACTAAAAGATAGAGACCAGAAGAGAGACTGAGAAATAGGAGAAGGAAAAAGGAAGAGAAGGAGACAGGGGAAGGGCAGGGAGGCTGAGGTTGGGGGGGTTGGAGGAGAAGGAGGTGGGGACATGGGTGGGTGGCATTGGGGACAGGAAAGGGAGAGCAACTTGGGAGAAGATGTTGGGGCAAGATGGGGAGAGAAGTGCGGAGGGGAGAAGAGCGAGCGAGCTAGGGTCAGAAAGCAATAGAGGTGAGACAGAGGGAGAGACAGACAACACTGAGGGACGTCAGGGACAGACGCAGGGACACACACAAAGACTGGGATGCAGAGACAAACACAGAAAGAAAAAAGAGAGAAGAGATACAAAAACAAGGAATGATTAGGAAAAATGGGCCTGGGAGGGGAAAGCTAGAAACTCTATGGGGGGCGGGGGGGGGGGGGGGGCGTGGGAACGGAGAGGTCCCTCCCTCTAACTTGGCATGTACTGATGTCCAGGGCTTTGGGCCAACTAGATATCCCTCGGGATCCAAGCTCCAAGGGACAGAGGTGGTGGAGAGACATGTGACACCATTCTCAGGGCTTTAGATCACTAGCTTATTTATTCCTCGGAGCCTCTCTCTAAGCACTCTCCCTGTCTTCATTTTCCAAGACCAGAGAGATGGCGTAACCTGCCCGATGTCACACAGGCAATGAGAAGACGAGCTGGGTGAGATTTGAACCTGGGCAGTTTGGCCCCGAAGTCAGTGCTCCTAGCCACCACCTATTACTCACTATAAAGAGGTGCTGGCTCCCCAAATTCCACTGTCTACAGTCACCTCTCCCAGTCTGACAGCAGAGGCTCAGCTCCACTCTCCTGGGAGTGCCTCCAGCCCAAGGGGGTTGGCTGGACAGGAAAACAGCCTCCTGCATGCCAGACCCCAGGCCCTGCCCAGAGCCAGGCCTCAGTCTTCCAGGAGGGAATATGGACACAACTACCTCTGACTCCTTCCCCAGAAGCTAGACCTGAGTTTCTCAGCCTTGGTTACTCAGCGTTGCAAGCCAGAGAGGTTGTACTGATCTTCAAAGGCAGCGCAGTGATCTGGTAACTTGCTCTGAGGTTTCCAGAAGCAGAGAAGTGCCACAACCAGCCCCGTCTACCCTCATCTCTCTAACCCCAGGAAGAAGGCACGCATCATTCCCTCCCAGCAGCGAGCTGAGATCCCAGGGCGATTTGGCCTCGTCTCTGACGTGCTAATCATACTAACAGCAACTCCCAGAACCTCAGTTCTTGTCCCCAAATCATCCCACCTTCTCCTGTCTCCCATGCTGTAACTCGAGGCACGTTACAGTGAGAAGTAACATGTTACAGAGACCAGTGCTTCTCTCCAGAAAGACACTTGTCCTCTGCCCCAAGCACATAGAACATGAGGAAGTCCTTCACACTGTCTGACCTTCAAAGGCCCTGTTGTTGATAAGCCTCTCTCCCAGCTCCAAATTACACAAGGGCGATGAAAGAAGAGAAGGGCCTCCTAAGGAAAGGGAAAAACCCACACAGCCCACCAGGGGCAAGAAAGACAAAGGCTACACCCCAGGGACTTCCCCTCACAAACTTGGGAGGCGACATCTCTGCAGACAACAGGACAGACACAGCACGAGGCACCTGGGGCTGGAGTTTATTGCAGGTGGACAGACAGACACAGAGATTCGGGGAGATGAGAAGGGTGAGCTATGGGCTCTGTGCTCAGAATCCTAGAGGGGGAAGACAGGAGGCAGAAGTCAGGATGGGGTCCGCCTGACAGCGGACCAGATGGTGGAGGACCCCGCCTGACAGCGGAGGAGCTGCAAGGGGTGAGGCCCGGAGCCGACACCCCCTTACCCCCCATTCTTCAGGATGACGACGATGGCTCCGGAGACGCTGGGCGATGTCATTAAGAGGAAGCCAGGGCCCACCGGGGCCGGCGCATCCGCGGCATGGAGCACCGGGCTCTCGAGGGCTGATGGTCCGGGTTGGGGTGGAAGGGAGCGTTACCCGGGTCCTCACCCCTCCGCGGCCTCTGGCGTCTCTCTGGGCGTCTGGCGACTTTGGCCACGGCTGGGGTCGCTGCGGCGGCGACGGCGGCGGCTCGGTGGCGGCTGGAGCTGGGGTCGCGGCCCGCCAGGGGCTCCCAGGAGGCAGGAGATGGACGCAGCGGCGGGAGCTGGAGCAGGCGGCGCGCCCGGGCGGGCAGCGCACGGAGGGGACGGCGCGCTGGGCAGCGGGCCGGCGGGGCCCGCGGGGGGCCGCGTGGGGACCCAGATGAGCCCGTAGTACACGGCTAGCAGCACGGCGGCCAGCGAGACGCAGAGGAAGTAGGCGCAGACCGGGGCCAGGCGCAGCCAGCGACCCCGCGGGCCCTCGCTCAGCCCGGAGCCGCCGGGGCTTTCGCCGCCACCGCCCACACAGCTCGTGCCTCGCATCCCCGCAGCCCACTCGGCCCGCACCGCGGCCGCACAGGCCCCGCCCCGCACGGCCCCCCAGGACCGCCTAGCGGTCCCAACCGCCCGCCCCGACCCCGCCCCGCCAGGCGTGGTCACGCCCCCGAGGGGCGGGCCTTCCAGGCGTGGGCCCCCCCGGCCCCGCCCCCAAGCCCGCCCCCTTTCCACACTCGAGCCTCGCCCAGCGCTGCAGCTCCGCCCCTCAGCCTTAGCCCAGTCTTCTCCCATGCTCCCGACTGTCCACTCCAGCATTCGCACCCGCGCTCTTCCCCCCTGGCCTCAACACATCGCAGTCCGAGCCCCTTTTCTCCTCACTCCACGGGCTCCCCCACGGCATTCTGGCCACGCCCCCACCGGTGGCCCCCTCATCAGCGTTAGGAGGCCCCATCCAGATCGGTTCGCAGAGGCCTAACCCCACTCCCACAAGCTACCCCTGCCGCGTTCTAGCTCCGCCTGCCAGAACTCTGGCCCCGCCCATGCACCCTAGCCCCGCCCCTCCTGGCACCAGCTGCCTCCTCTTCCACGCAGTCAGCCGCCCTCGCAGGGGTCCTGAGGTCTGACCCCACCCCAGAGGGCCCGGCTCCGCCCCTCGCCCCAACGCGCCCCTTCCCCCAGCTCCTCCCCACTCCTTCAATCTCTCCCTCTCCCGAGAGACGCGGGGTGCAGAGTGGGGACTGGGGAGAACACAGGCTGGAAATCCAGATAAACCCCTCCTGACGCCCCCTCCCCATCAAGGCGGGGAAGCTTCAGTCCCCTCCCAGCAGCGTCTTCAGGAATTCGGGGAGGCCTGCGGGAGGGGGGAGACGTATCAGGGTGGGTGGAGAAGGAAGACCCCTTCCTCCCGCCTCTTCCGCCACGGAGAAGCCCGCCAAGCACAGCAACCCAGGCTGTCTCCGCCAGAAACGAAGTTCGAGGGTTAGCGGAAGCACTGCGTTTAATAGAGACGAGGCTGACGCCCGAGATTCAAGCCCTTCGGAAGAGTCGCCGGCTATTTGCCATGCCCCGGATGTAAGCTCCTGGAGGCGGGAAATTAGGCCTGGGACTGCACCTAGCGCCCCCAACGGCCTCCATGGGAGGCTAACACGGAGGCGATGTCCCCCACTTCTAGGGACTGGACCGAGTTCTCAAAAATTCAGACTACTGCCCTGGCCCCTCCCCGTTCACTGACCCTGGCTCCTCCCCCCTTACATTTAACCCTCTCCTGGCTGGAGTGTGGCAGAAGCAGAGGACAGAGGAGCGAGGCGGCGGGAGGTTAGTGCAGAGCGCGGAGGCTGGAGGCCATGGTCCCGCAGGCGCGGTCAGCGGGCGGCCCCCGGTGGCGGAGCGGCCGCCACCACCTTGCAGAAACGCACCCTCTGGAAGTCAGTGATCTCCGCTGTCTCCTGGCCCTCGGGGCCTGCCTCTGGGGAAAGAAGGGAGGATCAGACGAGGGGGAACACTCCTCTCCCAGTCCCAGGACCCCTCCCCCGTCTAGTCACGCCCATCCCAATCGAGTCTGTCGCAGCTGCCCCGCGCTAAGCGGTTTATGGGCCACAGACTCCTCTAATCCTCTCAGTGGATGCACGAAGCAGCAGACACCTCCAACGTAACCCTGTTTACAATCGAGGAAACGCTGGGGTAGCCGTAACCCAGCCAACAGGTGGCCAAAGACAGAGCGTTTGGGCCCTGCCCACCCACCAACCCAAAATGTCCCTTCTCATCCCAGCCCCATCTCCCAGTCCTAACCTCCATCAAGCGAGTCCTACAGCACCGCCCTCCCCTTTCCTTCCCTGCCACCGCCACCGGACATTCTAACCAGCCCTTCCTTCCTCGCTGTGCCCCAATCCTAATCCCACATGGGGGGGGAGGTCCCTGCTTTGAAATCTGGGCCTGCCCAGTGGAAGTGAGGTTGGGGGGTTCCCCTTCTTGCTCCCATTCTGTTGGTTCCAAATTCTAATCGGGTCCGCATTTCTAATTTATCCACCCCACTTATTTGCACCTCAAAACTAATCCCACCCAGAGCTAAATCCATTCCTCCACCCCTCTGCTCTTTTTTAACCTTTAGGGCTAGTTCAAATTTCAAAGTACCCAGCCCCACCGCATTACCTGTAAAAAAGCCCTGGGGTCAATTTTTTTTTATTTTTTCTTTTTGAGACAAGTTCTGTTGCTAGGGTTAGAGTGCCAAGGCATCATAGCTCACTGCAACCTCCAACTCCTGAGCTCAAGCGATCCTCCAGCCTAAGCCTCCCGAATAGCTGGGGCTACAGGTGCACCCCACCACACCTGGCTAATTTTTCTATATTTTGTAGAGACGGGATCTCACTCTTGAGCAGGCTGGACCTCTAAATTCTTTTTTTTTTTTTTTTTTTTTTTGAGACAGAGTCTCACTCTTGAGCAGGCTGGACCTCTAAATTCTTTTTTTTTTTTTTTTTTTTTGAGACAGAGTCTCACTTTGTTGCCCAGGCTAGAGTGAGTGCCGTGGCATCAGCCTCGCTCACAGCAACCTCAAACTCCTGGGCTCAAGCGATCCTCCAGCCTCAGCCTCCCGAGTAGCTGAGACTACAGGCATGTGCCACCATGCCCGGCTAATTTTTTCTATATATATTAAGTGGCCAATTAATTTCTTTCTATTTATAGCAGAGACAAGGTCTCGCTCTTGCTCAGGCTGGTTTCAAACTGCTGACCTTGAGCAATCCGCCTGGCTCATGGACCTCTAAATTCTAATGCCATCCTCCCTCCACTTCCCCACCGCTTCCACCCGGTAGCCCCACCCCCGTGGCCCCATCATCCACAGCAATCCCATCCGTAGCCTGGCCACATTCTGACCTCACCAAGTGCTACCCCCACACACTCCTGCTGGAGCCTCACCCAAGCCCTTCTGCCCCTTAGCCCCAGAGGAAGAGGAAGGTGGCCACTTCCACCTCCCCCCACCCTCTGCACTCCCCCACCTGGAGTTGCCTCAGACCCCTCCTCTTCAGCTTTCTGGGTTCCTGGGAGGCTGGGCCCACTCTCCAGGGAGGCAGGGGCTGGCTGGTCACCTCCTGGGGAAGGGGAGGCCCAGTTAAGCCCCTCCCACATCTCCCCACCCCAAGAGAAGGCCCAGGGGAAGTTAGAGGGGAGTTAGAGGGGCTGAAGGACACACTTAGGGGGATGTCATTTGAGGATGTGAATTCTTTATTGGGTAGGGGGCTCTGAATGGCCCTGGGGCAGGCTCAGGGAGTGGGCGTTCCAGAGACAGGCATGACACTACAGGGGGCAATGGACTGCCCTTCCCAGCCACCAGAGCTGTTGGGCACACGGGGTCCTGGGGCCCAGCCCCCAAGCATCTCCACTGCCAGCCACACCCCTGGGGCATGCAAGCACACGCGGGCAGCCAGCTTCATGCATTCCCGAAAGGCCAGGCCTCACCCGAAGAGAGGGCTGCAGCCGGGTGGGCGGTCCGGGGAGAATTCAGCTCCATCTCTTCACCCCAGTCGGACACAGGCTGGTGGCCGCCAGGTGGTGAGAAGGAGCTGGAAGGTGTGGCAGGGGCCTGGGCAAGCGGCAGCAGCTCCTCGGGGCTGGCGGACACTCTGTCGGCCGGCTCACTGGTGGGGTTCCCGGCAGGGTCAGGCTCTTGGGGTTGGTGGTCCTGGGCTGGTTCTTCCTCCTCGTCACCGTCGTCTTCCTCCTCGACTTCCTCCTCGATATCTTCCTCATCCTCGTCCTCACTCACATCCTCACTCATGTCCTCCCACTCTTCATCCTCCTCCCCCTCGTCCTCCTCGCCCTCATCCTCAGGAGGCCGGCGGGCAGGGGCAGGGGCAGGGGTCTCGGGTGGCTGTGGGAACAGGCAGGTCAGGGAGGTGCAGCCCCAGGCACCCCCCACACCCCGCCCGGCAGCAGCCAGGCCTCACCTGCGTAGGCGTCTCCGGGGGGGAGGTGGGCTGTGGGGCCTCTGGGGCTGGGGACACTGCCTCCTCTTTCGTCTCCCAGCGGTCATCATGGTCACTGGAGGGGACAGCGGAAAAGGGTGAGGCCCAGGCGGAGGGGGACAGGAGGAAGGGGCTGCATACCTCCCACCTCTCCCCATGGAGGAGCTGCCCAGAGAGGACCCAGCATGTTGGAGCACTGAGAGAGTGGTGGACGTGTGTCCTCAAGTGTCAAAGACAGAGAGAGAGAAGGGGGGACATATGGCAAGAGGGGAGATGGGTGGAAGGGGGAAAGGGGACAGATGAGGGTAAGGCCAAGAGCCATACCCAAACCCCTAAAACCCAGTCCCTGAGAGATAACCAAGCTTGGCCAAGACAGGGACAGACAGATGGACCTATACATTCACAGGCAAGTCAGAGAACGGGCCAGGGACAGCCCTGGAGGAGGGAAAATGCTGGGGAAGGGCGCCCCCACCTGTAGGCACGGGGGGCTGCCTTGGCCTGGGGCCGGCTGCTCTTTCTTCTCCTGCGACTGCTGACCTCAGCTTTGTGCTGGGACAGGAACTCCCCAAATGTCGGGGGCTTGGGGGGCCGGGCCCAGGCCTGGTCGTCTGCAACAGAACCCAGGAGGGGTCAGGGGAGGGGCCATGGCACACCCACCTCTCCACCCCCAGGCCTGGCCAGGGCCGGCCTGGCCCAGCCAGCTGCCTCCCCCCACCCAAGGTCACCCACGCACCATAGCGGTGGGACGGCTCGTGGGCAGGGGCTGGGCCATCCTTGAACCTGTGAGGACAGAGAAAGGGTGAGGGGGCAGGTGGGGGAACAAGGGAGCAGGAGGGTTGGAGAGAGAGAAGGGGAGGGATCAAGGTCAGCAAACAGATCAGAGAGACAGAAGGTCAGCCAGACAGCGGACACTGATTAGACGTGGCACGAGACCAGGTGGAAAGGCAAATCTGACATCCTAGTGACAAACAGAAAAACATTTGACTGGCCTCAAAACAAAAACTTTGGGGGGGATGGTACCACAGACCCCAGCCAAGGTGCATGACACCCAGCTCTCTGCCTGGCCTCTCTCTCCCTGTCACCCTCGCAGCTCCCCAGCTCTCTGCCACAGGGCCTCCCACCTGTTTCTGGACCATTCTTCCCCAACCTTTCAGGGG